GCTCTCCACTTACCAGTCTAATCGTCTTTCTTGAAATACTTGTACTTGCTTCTCTTTTATGTGCTCCTTAACTTTAACTTCCACAGTTCCTTTATTGTTTGTTTTTAAAAATTAATATATGTTTGCAATACATAATAAATACATTAATTGTGGAGAGTTGGTGCATAAACATATCATATCCTGATCTATTTTTTCTCTTTTCCTTTCTCAAAGTTCTTTATTCTCATTTCTTCTTATTCTATTTAAAATTCTAGGGCCGGGGATTTAGCTCAGCGGTTCGGTGGCCTGCCTTGCAAGGGCAAGGACCCGAGTTCAATCCCCAGTACCAAAAATAAATAAATAAATAAATAAAATTCTACTTGGGCAATCTCATCTAAGTCTATAATCTAGTTTTGTTTTTCCCTTTGATCTTCTAACTATGTAGCCAAAATGTAGCTGGTTTACTTCACCAAGTCAATTTAAACTAAAATGTTACATCCTGCATTAAAACATTGTAATGGTTTTTCGGGGCTTAAGATGAGATATATACCACCACACCTGGCTGTAGACTATTAAACCTGTATTTATTAAGAGAATTTATTCAATAGCTCTCCTTTTAAAAGAACAGGTATATAATATGGACCATTAAAAAAAAAATTCAAATCCCCAAGTAGAACATGCAGAGCTTGTCATAATCTGGACAGTTATTACTGGCTGTCTTCAGCTTCCTACCACTTTCCTACCTGCTTTGGCTTTACTGAACCTCCTGCTGTATCCCACTTGTACCACATCTTTCCTGTATGTCTCTTTATATACATTATCCCTTTAATGGGAATACCTCTTTTCCCTACTTGCCTGGCCAGATAGTAGTCATTTTTCAGATTCAACTCAGGTTTCCTTTCAAGGAATTTCAAATATCTTCTCAGCGTACCCCATAGTCCACCTCCCCACTCACCTAGATACATCAGAAAAATGGTGCTACTTTGTTGGCTTCAGATACCAAAATTTAGCTGGGCATGGTGGCACACACCTATAATCCAAGCACTAATGGTTGAGGCAGGAGTTTGAGGCCAGCCTGGGTTACATAGTTTGAGATCAGCCTGAAGTACATAGCAAAACCCTGCCTCAAAAAAAAAAAAAAAAAGGTTGGCAGGGAGAGATACCAAAACTTGATTTATCCCGATGTCTTGACCTTTTGTCTTTCTTCTTTGTTTCTGGGACAGGATTGGCTATATAGGTCCAACTGGCCCTGAACTCACAATGTAGCCCAGCTAGGCCTTGAACTCATGGCTATCTTCCTGCCTCAGCCTCCTGGGTGCTGGGATTATAGCCGTGTGCCACCACTACCAGCTGTTTTTAGCTTTCTTCTGCCTTGAACTGTTACTGTACCATGGAGTCTGACTTCACCCCTCAACACTATGTATGTTTCCCCAGGTGATCTTAACCAACCTTATGGCTTTAATTCTTACCTAAAACTAATAATTGCTTAAACTTTTACCCTTAGACCAGAATCATGTTCTGCTGCCCTCTGACTTCTCTGGCCTGTGGAAAGACAGTCATTTCACATCCTCCTATTTCTCATACATATTTAGAGTCCTTGTCCCTTAGTATTCTTATTGGGCTGTTCCATCTCATGCCTTCATCTTTTTTTTTTCTTTCCTAATTTAATAACTTAGCTTCTTAATTGACCTGTCTGCCTCATTTTTCTACATAGCTAAAAAATAGTTTACTTAAAATTCAAATCTGTGCACATCATTAAGCTTACATTTAAAACCTGGCCACCTGCTAAGTTGAAGTTCAGCTCTTTTACCCTGTATGTGAGCCTTTATCCCTATTGTATTCCTCTTCACCTCTCATCCATTTGCAAGATAGAGTCAGCTCAGGTTTTTTATTCCTTCAGGAATGCTCTTCTGACATTTCCCACAATCTCAGACTACGCTACCATAACACTCTATGTATATTTCTGTCATTAAATTATTTTTATTACCCGTTAGATGGCTAGCCCTTGAAAGTAGAGAGAGACTTTTATTGCTTTTCTTCTGGCATCTAGCACAGTTCCTTGCCCATGGCAGATGAAATCTATCCTGTCACTGTTTTTTAATTTTAAGATGTTCACAGTTGGGTTTTTCTTTTCCTTTTTTTTTTTTTTTTTTTTTTTTTTTTTAATAGCAACATGCTAGACGGGTTTATGAAATTCTTCGACTGCTGGTGACTGACATGAGTGATGCTGAGCAATACAGAAGCTACAGGCTGGATATTAAGAGAAGACTGGTCAGCCCTTATAAGGTAGGACTTTCAAGACAGGCATTACATTCTTGGCCCTTTTCAAAACGGAAGACTGGCCAGTGCTGCTGTGTGGGCATGTCACATCACTATGATTAAGTAACTTTTACAGAGTGAAAGTATGTTTCCCATTATAGAAATTTGTACTTTATAATAAACTATAAATGTTTTCCATTCCCTTAAAAGTGAATCTCAAGGATAGTCTATTTTTCTTTCATTTGTCTGCATCTTTTGAAAATCCGAATGCTTAGGCTTTTACCCAACAAGTTAAGTGTTTTTCAAGTCTTTTATTCCATTTGTCATGTTTTCTCTTCTTGCTTTGTCTCTCTAAAAATAGCCTTTGTTGCTATTTATAATGCCTACTTTATTATAGCTGAAATCTCAAATTAATACTATTTACCTCTTTTTCTGTTTGTTTGTTTGTTTTTGAGACAGGGTCTCACTGTATAGCCCAGGGTGGCCTCAAACTTGCAGCAGTCCTTCTGCCTCAGTATCCCAAGTGTTGGGATTATAGGTGTGCACCATCACACCCAATCTCTTTTTCTGAAGCTGGGGATTTAGCTCAGTGGCTCCACTGCCTGCTTTGCAAGCACAAGGACCCCAGTTCAATCCCCAGTACAAAAAAAAAAAGATTCAACTCAAATCTCTTTTTCTGTTTTTAAACATTGTTCCTTCTTGGCCCTCCCACCCCCACCCCACTACTTTTTCATCTCCCATATTTTCCTTCTAATGTAGTCATAATCCTAGATCAGATCTGGGCTTACCATTTGCCAGTTATTAGTATGGATAAAGGTAAATGTTAGTATAAATAAATTGGTATTAATTCTATCTTTAATTGTTTTATCTGCATTAACTGAATATTGTCAACAGTTCTTTTTTACACATTCTTCAAAAACTTAAATTTGTGATACATCATATATAAACAAAGTGAAATATATATAGTTTCAGGAATAAAGATTGATAAATGAAATTTAGACCACAAATCAAATTTAAGTTTTTGTTGTGTCAGATTGCTTCTTTAACAAAGGCTTATCTCCAGTACTTTATTGTAGCCCATCTTAGGAATGTTTGTGTGCTTACAGATTTAGCTAAAGTAATAAGCATGGCACATTTGCCTAGTATTCCACAATTACTAGTGTAACTAACATTTACTAGTTTTTAGGATGGGTTTGAGGTATTTTCAGGATTATTTCATTTTGTTCAAATTATCTTTTGAAAGGTGATTTGACACAGAGACTAAGAACTCACACTTCTAACTGGACTGTTAAATTTTCAATCCTGACTTCTCAGCTCACTACCTGAATGAATTCAGGCAAGATACTGACTCTTTTTCCATCCAGTACCTATCTCTTATAGTTGTTAGAATCATACAGTATAAGTTAACATCTGTGATTTCTTATATCTATAAAATCAATTCTTTATTACATGCTTTTAATAAAAGAGAATTGTTATGATAACCTAGAACAGTTTAACCAAAACATGAAAGCTTTATATTTTCCCACCTAACAAGGAATCTTGGAGTTTTCTTTTTCTTTCCCCACATCATCCAGTGCTTTCTCCCCTAGACCTGCCCTGCTCCCTCCATTTCTGCCACTGTTGACTTTAGTCTTTTATCATCTGACTTGAACCACTGCAGTAGCTGCTTAGCCCTCTGGTCTCATCCATCCTGAATGTCACTGACACAGTATTATCCTGCCACAGTGTTCTTCACAAAAATTGTTACCAGGGCCAGGAGTTTAGCTTAGTGGCACCACATCTGCCTTGCAAGTGCAGGTCCTGAGGTTTAAACCCCAGTATTGCCAAAAAAAAAAAAAAAAAATTATTACCAGCTCCTTATTGCAAATTCCTCAGCTTAATGTTGTCCTTCTTACACAATACAGAGAGTTTAATAAAATAGGAGATTCAGTAAATGTACGTTAGTATATACTATTTTAGGTATGACTGCTTTTTTACTTTTGTGAAACTTTTTCAATAGTTTGTTAAAATTAGTATTGTGTGCTTGAAAACAGTGAATATTTACATTTTTAAAAATTTATTAAAATAAAAGATACATTGCCATTAAATATTCCCCTTCACTTTGAACACACTTCTCCCATCACTCTTGCCACTTTCTGGAGCAGTTCTGAAAACCCTCTTTTGTTAATGTCTTTGTTGTGCTGTCATGGCTACCTCAATGTCCTGAATAGAATGAAAACAGTTTACCTTTCATGTCAGATAGGTGAATAAGGTAGATGAGAATACACTGTAATGTTTCTAAGCCTACTTTTCAGATGGCGTCATTCACTGCAATTTTTATCACACCTCATAAAGACACAAAAAAAAGGACTTTCAAAACTGCTTTAGAAAGTGGCACAAACAATGGGAGAAGAGTGTTCAAAGCAAGGGGGAGTATTTTAATGGGGTTGATAGCAGCAGTATGTCTTTCTGTAATTTTAAAAAATTTAAATATTCAGTATATATTTCAATCACACCTCATATGTCTATAAATATGTCACTAGATAAGGGAACCTAGCAAGAGGTACAGTGGCAGGGGAATGCCAGATAAGAATTCTAATGATTATAGAGTGAGATAAATAATTGCATATAATAACACTTGCCTTTCAGTTAAAGAAATGTGTGTGTCTATACTGGCCAGAGGTTTTTTGGCTTTGTTTTCCTTTTTGGGGATCAAAACTTGGGCCTCATGCATGCTAGCCAAACACTGTACCTCTTAGCTACACACCCAGCACTGGCTAGGATTTTTGTTATGCTACTGTATTATTGGCTACTAGTATCTATATTAATCGTTATTTGACAGAAATACCAGATCTTTTTGTTAACTCCTTTTAGAGGGTTTGCCATTCATGGTTAACATTTAACCACTTAACAGTTTATCCCAAGCATTGCTCAGGCAGGTGTCATTTCAACCAGTCAATTCTTATATTGAGTAAATTTGATAAAATTGACCTCTTATAAAAATTTAACCAAAAAATACGCAATTTTTGGTCATCCTGTATTTTAATAATTGGACTGGTAAGTGGTTGTGGGGGCAGACTAGACATAGAGCCTGGTGATTGAGTACTTGCCTATCATGCAGGAGGCCCTGGGTTCAATTCCTAGTACTGCACAAATAAAAAGAAAGAAAAAAACACCTCTTTAGGACGAGTTTGGGCTTATTTCTACTCTTATTTTTTAATACTGAAGATTTAAGATTGTAGAAAAAATAAATCTGCTTTCTTAGTCTAATAAATAATTGTGTTTGTTGTTTAGAAAAAGCAGAGAGATCTTGCTAAGATGAGAAAATGTCTCAGGCCAGAAGAATTGACAAACCAGATGAATCAAATAGAAATAAGCATGCAACATGAACAACTGGAAGAAAGCTTTCAGGAACTAGTGGAAGATTACCGGCGTGTTATTGAACGACTGGCTCAAGAGTAAGATTATTCTATTTTGTACAGGAAGCTGACAAATTTCTGTACATTGTGCTGTGGAAAACCTGATGATAATTTTAATGTTAACATCTTGTAACATTTTACTTACATTAAAAGTTATCTGTTATCATTAGTTGAATATTTCCTTTTGGAGAGATTGTATATTTTAAAATACTGTCTAGAATGTTTATGAGCATATATTGCATTAAAAAATATAGCTTCTAAAATACCACTGCTCTTGCTTTTCTTCTTAAACAGTATAATAAATGCTTAGTTGTGATATGTTAATGTGTGATGTGATTCTTAAATACTTATAAACTCTTCCTATCTTAAAAAACCTTTGATTTGTATCATTCATCGTATACTTAGCTTCTAAGAGCTAACATTTGACACCTTTAAAACACATTCTTTTGTGCACGCCTGTAATCCCAGCACTTGGGAGGCTGAGGCAGGAGGATTGCTGTGAGTTTGAGACCAGCCTGGGATACATAGTGAGTTCCAGGTCAGTCTCAACTACATAGTGAGACCCTGTCTCAAACCCCCTCCCCCAAAAATTCCTTTATGGTCATCCTAATATCTTGTTTATCCTGTATGATTTTTCTAAATAGGAATGTTCCTAGTAAAGGTTTGATTTGTTTAAATAAACTTCTGCTTAACTACTTGTGGCTAGGCACGTAAGAGAGCAGCTAGAACTAGATATACTCTAAAGCCTAAATGTTGGGCATCAAAATTAAATGAAGATAATTTATCTTCTTTTTTTTTTTTATCCCCAGTACTGGGAATCAAACTCAGGACCTTGAGCATGCCAGGCAGGTGCAGTGCCGCTGAGGTACATACCTGGCTCCAACTGAAGATAATTTAGAAGTTAGCCATAAAGCATTGTATAAAGTAAGACAAATCAGTTCATCACCATATGCAGATAAGATAGGTATCTGTTACAAATTGCTATAAGGTTACTACGGTGTTGAAGTATAAGAAATAAACCTAAGTAATGGTGATTTCTTTAATATAGTCTTGCTTCTTAATGAAACAGTATAAATTGCTGGATAAGGATTTATAAGTAAAAGCTTAAGATGTTTATAATGTGTACCAATGAGCCGAGTATTATATAACATTAAAACAGGATGTAAGTGGGCCAGGGATTTAGCTCAGTGGCACCACGCCTGCTTTGCAAGTGCAAGGTCTTAAGTTCAATCCTCGGTACCAAAAAAAAAAAAAAAAAAAAAAAAAAAGAAAAAAAATAAAAAAAACTTGATTTGCTTGATGCTTAGTGCAAAGTCCCAACTTGGACAAGTCCCGTCTTGTCTTTAGATCACCTTTCCATTAGTAAAGCCTGTCAGGTTTTACTGACAGGAGACAAAGTAACTCATATCCTCTGGCCAAAAAATGGTTTTCGCTGGTAGCATACCAGTAGCACTAATTGTGTCCTTAAAGTGAGGGCTGTAAAAGTGTCCTGTCTCATCTCACAAGGCTAAATACAGATGGAACTTGGTTTCTGAGAAAATATATTTATTTGCTATGGGTAGAATGAACTACTTAAGTTAAAATCCTTTCCGGCCAGGGATTTATTTAGCTCAGCGGTTCAGTGGCCAAGGACCCAAGTTCGATCCCCAGTGCCAAAAAAAAAAAAAAAATTCTTTCTGGCCAGGAATGGTGGCAAACACCTGTGATTGCAGCACTCTGGGGAATTAAAGCAGGATAATTCCAGATTTGAACCCAGCCTGGGCAAGTTAGTGCAAGCCTGTCTCAAAATAAAAAATTAAAGTGACGAGATGTGGCTCGGCACAGAGGCCCTAGGTGTAACACCCAGTACTGGAAAATAAAATTGTTTTTTGAATACTGTGAAAGCAATTTGTTTTTCATCTAAAAATTATCTAACTTTTAATTTTAATTGATAATTCAAAATTCATACTTGAGTTCTGAAGAAAAAAAATAGTCTGAAATTACTAAGGTGGGGGGGTTCTCTCCTTTGAAATAGGGTCTCACTGTATAGCCCAGGCTGGCCTTGAATTTATGATCTGTGATCCTCCTGCCTCAGCCTCTTTGAGTGCTGGGATTACAGGCATGCACCACAATGCTCAGCTCCAAATAGTTTTCTGTGTAGAAACTAGGAAAGGTCAATGTGATACTAATCCCCACCCCTTTCTTTAAAGCAATATTCCTGTGCTCAATTCATGGATAATGATCTGTTTATATTAACCGTTGGGACTTGAAAGGCTATATACTATCATTCAGGGTTAGAATGATAAAGGTCTGGTATTTAGCTCTTGTATAATAATTATCAGGAAAGGTGTGCAGCATGGTGTATGAACACAGCCGGCCAGTGGTCACCTGCCACCCTTCTCAGCCCTCACACCATTTATCATCTCGTGTGTACCTACTGTATTTCTGCCTTTACTTTGTTAGTATTTTTCCCCTTTGTTCTACTGTTTCATTTTCCCATTATCTACAGATTGCATCTTTTCTATATGTAATGTTTTCTTTCTGAGCAGTTCATCTGTAAAAATGAGGTTACACTACAGTGGTCGTCAGGCTCTCTGTTCTGAGATCTTTGCTTATCTTTTTCTGTGGGTAGGGATGTGATACGTGTAAAAATATTTGAAAAATCACAGCATTATGTGACACAGTTGGTATGAGAGAAAAGCAGCACTAAGTCCCCAGTTGTCTCCAAATTACAGAGCCTTTACCAGTCTTGTCTGTTCTGAAGAATTCTCTGATCCCCTGAATCATGATCTTCCTTTCCTACTAGAGAAGGCCTGGCAGCCATATCTGAGAATCATTAGAATCAGACTTTAGATGCCAACTGATTAATTCCTAGGATTTGTTAAGTTCTTAGAATTTAAGTCAGTTTAACATTTTAAAGAACTATTAAGTACCTATAATTCTTCTACTTAGTTTCTTTGAGATAGCTTCTCATGGGCCTGGGATTTAGCTCAGCGGTTTGGTGGCCTGCCTTGCAAGTGCAAGGACCCAAGTTCAATCCCCGGTACCAAAAAAAAAAAAAAAAAAAAAAGAAGGTAGCCTGGGCTCCGATCCACTGCGGGAAGGAGAGCTTCTCCTTCTCCTGCCCCAGCTGCCATTGCTTGAGCGCGGGAAAGGTAGCTACGTACCCCTCAACCCCCTACCCGCCCCCCCGTTCAACCATTCAGAAGGTTGGGGAACTCAATCTAGGCCTTGCAGCCCGAGGTCAGTCAGCATCATGGGGTTCAGCCATCAGCTGAGACGAGGGGGTCTAGCATCCTCGCTCTGTCTGAGCCATTAAATGGTAAATACACTATATTGAAATTTTGTTCACTGCAGACATGTTCTGGACTGCTTGATTTCAATTTAATTCAAATGATTTAAGGGTGATAGACTAGTGACTACCACAGGTGGTCAGTTTCCAAGTTGTGCTTGATCTTAATGTGCTACTGATTGTATCAGTTGGGATAAAGCATTGCGGTTGATTTGATGAGCTGTTTTCTCTGATGCTATGAAGATGAGAATGTCTGTGGGTCGTTAGAGACACAGAGACACAAGCCAGGGCGCAACCATATCAGGAAGATTTGGGTGATATTCCAGAGATTAAACCAAGGACAGTCCAACAACGAAAATAAAAATGAGAAAACACTTAAGCAAGACACAAGGACAGACTTCCAGTTCACCAATGGCAAACAGTAGGGCAAATGAGGATGAAAAGGCTGATAGTGAACCACCAGGACACCCAGAACTCAAAGCACAGGAAGTAACAAAATAGATCGATCAGGCTCTAGAAAAATTCAAAACAACCAGAACACCTAACTCAAAGCACAGGAAGTAACAAAATAGATCGATCAGGCTCTAGAAAAATTCAAAACAGAAATAATTTCCCAGTTAACCATAGAAATAGCAAAATGGAAGTCACGATTCGAGACTCTAGAGCAGAAACTGACAAAAAAATAGATGAGCTCAGGACCATGATAGAAGCCATGAAGGCCCAGCATAAGAAAGAAATGGAAAAAATAAACGCCCAACATAGGAAAGAAATGGAATCCATAAAACAGATATCCAGGAGATTAAACACTCCATAGAAAGTGTACGCAACAGAATAAAAGAATGCGAAGATAGACTCTCGGATTTAGAAAAGATTGCAGTCAGTGACCATGAAAAGAGAGGTCTCTTAAAAATAGTAAGGGATCATGAGAAATCGATCCAACAGCTCCTAGATGATGCAAAGAAGAATAACAAGACTGATAGGAATACATGAAGTAGCAGGAGAAAATACAAATGACTTTAAAAAGCTGTTTGCAGAATTAATGACAGAAAACTTCCCAAACAGAGGGGAAGAATTTGACATTCAGATAACAGGCATATAGGACCCCAACTAGCTACAATAAATAAAAAAAAAATCTACACCTAGACATATAATAATCAAGATCCCATAAACCCAACAGAAGAACAAAATACTACAAGCAGTAAGAGAAAAGAAACAAATCACATACAAAGGAAAGCCCATCAGAATCAAAGCAGACTTTTCAACACAAACCCTTGGCAAGGAGAGCCTGGAATGAGATATTTCAAGTACTAAAAGAGAACCTCCAACCTAGACTGATGTATCCTGCAAAGCTCTCTTTCAAAATGGATGGGGAAGTAAGACACTTCCACTACAAGGAACACCTGAGAAACTACATGAATACCAAACCAGCACTACAAGCAATTCTAAACAAGATCCTAGAAAAAGACAATGAAGGCAACAATACCATGAGGCCCAAAAGAGCAAATCAAATAGGCAAGGCAAGAAATTAAAAGGAGAAGGTGAAAAAGTAAAGAGTCAACAAAAGGCCAATAACATGTCAATCATAAGTCAGTACATATCCGTTATAACCAGCAATGTCAGTGGCCTCAACTCACCAATCAAGAGAAATAGACTGGCAAAATGGAATAAGAAGCAAAATCCAACAATATGTTGTATACAAGAAACACACCTAGTGCAAAAAGAAGTCCACAGACTGAAAGTGAAAAGATAGAAAACAATTCTTCATGTGACAGGAGCCCAGAAAAAAACAGGGGTAGCAATCTTATTTGCAGACAAAGTAAATTTCAAACCAAAACTGATTCTAGTATTATTGATGTAGGACGGTACTGTATCATACCTCTATGAATGTAAAATATCTTGTACCTGCTTTATGATACATAGTAGGGACCGTGCTTTATCAGAGCTACATTTAATGATATTACTCTAGAATGTTCTCTTTCCAGATAATGATTAAGATGCTAATAAAAAAATGGTGACAGGTACCACAACAGCAACAGAACTTTGCTGTTTTCTGGATATTAGTCTTTTCTTTGTTTTTGTTTTGTTTTGGTTTTTAATGGAAT